AGCCGCTGCGCTCCCACGCGCTTGGTGCGCTCCGGCCTGTGGTACGGCTTGGGCTCCCGCAGGTGTGGGCCTTTCTGGTGCCTCACCAAGCCCGGGCGCCTTCCCAGCCTGTCAGAAGGTCTCTTCTTTGTGGAAATCAGAGTTAGCGGCGAAGGATTGCCTCTCAAGCTACAACACACCAGCTGCTAAACAGGGAAAATACGGTGATGATGAATATGCAGCGCTCCTGTTCAGGGTGAGCCTACACCTAATTTATTTTGAGTGCACCAGTCTGAAAATGCAGTTACTTGCATTTCACTAAGAATTAAAATGCTCGGGCACCACTTTTCGTCATCGGTCAGGCTTGTGATAAGGTGTTGCCCTATTAATACTGAATTGCAAGTGAATATTTGGGGAAAACAATCTGTTGACCAGCTGCATCATTCCTAAAATGGTGCTGGTGGCACTGTCTCTCTGAAACTGGACAAGAAGGTTGATTTACCCCAGTTTTGGAACTGGTTTCTCTCTCCTGCCAGGCAGCACCAGCAAAAATCAGAAGCACAGAGCAGTGAGGTAACCACTGAAGAGAAAACTCTTGCACCTTTTGGGGGCTTAGATACCCTTCAGAGCTAGATATGACCGAGACTGGTCAGGAATAGGAATAGATAGCAGGATGGGAAGGCTCATGGTTTCAGGTATTTATCCCTTTGTCACATCATTTTTCCTTAGGGAGTCTCACTTTATCCACCTTCTTACTAAAGCTTTATAAAAAATGTTTTTAGGCCTTTTGATAGTCAACTGTCACGTATCATTGGATGAGAAGTGTTCAGAGAAGCCTTCTCTATTCACAGTGTTCTCGACATAAATCAAAACCTCCAGGCTTTTGTAGGAATCTGCTGTACTTTTAGGTGCCTGTATACATTTGGAAATAGTTAGTGTTTAGCTCATATTTTTCTTCATTTTCTTTGTAGTAATTAATTAAATAGTTACCAAGATATTGCTAGTATTTAGTTTAAAAGCTGTTAGGGTGAAAACTTGAAACACTTTGAACCTAGTCCATATTCTCTATCATTCACATGACAAAGGTAAGAAATCACTTCTATGAGGTAAGGTAAGGCCTCTGTGTGAGCACCAGCTAAGCTCTGCACATTCAGGAGTGGAGAAAGCTCCTTTTAACAAGTCTCCTGGAAGCCTGCGTGGCTTGAGTGTAGACTGCTCATGGTTTTATATGACTTATGCACCAGATCTCCCTGGCTGGTCGAGGAGGGGAACTTAATTTATTGTAGAAGAGCCTCAGGATATGGCCCTTTATGAGTATTACATGTTGCAATTGATGGAATTTTATTCGAGGAGTAGATTAAATGACAGTATCCTTGGCAATTTGTCTAGGGCTTTACAATTTTCTCTTTTGACTTGAGCTGGGAATTAAATTAAGCTGCTAAACTCTGCTTTGTTACTCACAATCCGCCTAATCAAAGCAGGAGATCCTCCTGAACATGTCAATGCCCAAATTGCTGGTGGGAGTCCCTGATAGATTTCTCTTTTAAATTTAGCACAGCCCAGAATAGTAACTCTTACATAACATATACCCAGCTAATATGGGACTTGCTATAATTTCAGTGAGAGACTGCAAATTTCCTGTGTTGCAGAATAGCTAAAGCAGACAGCATTAGAGTCTTCCTTCATATAAAGAGCTTGAGCAAATGAGCTCATGCTTATGAAGCAGGGCATAATGTTTCCCTTAGATATCAACATGTAGTTGACAACCAGATGGACTGTGACAAATCCTAGCTACTGCCCTGTGTCTATGAGTGGCACTGTAGCCCCTGTTTGCCTCAGAAACCACAAATGTCTTGGACCACTTATTTCTGAGGATAGAGAGAGACAGTAAGGCAAGAATGTGCACTAGCATTGTGGACAGGCCATTGGGGCTACTCACGAAGCGGACTGCTTAAACATGACCTCTGCTTATTTACAGCTCTTTGTGGAGCTTGTATTCTTCCATGCAGCTTGTGCCACAGGTGGAAGATCCTTAAGGAGTAAAGAACAGGAAATGGACCCTTCTGGCATAGTATGTGTTTGTTGGGACAGATGGACATGAAATAGACCTGACACGTGGAATGAAGTAGACATTTAATACAGTTTCTCTCCCAGAAACTCTGTCCTGCCTTCTGCTATCCACAGCTTGATGCTTCTCATAAGAGTGGACCCCAGAGCAATTTCAGAGCCTATACATTGTATGATCGTGCCACAAGTGGAGCAGGATCCCTGCAGTGTTTCAAAGGGTGAATCAGTGAAATACTGTGTGCTTTGAATGCTCCGTGAGGCTGGCATCCATTCAGGCTGGCATCTCTTGGGGGCGGTAGCTGACTGAGCTGGGTAGGAGTCAACTCTTCTGGTAGGCAGGACACTAGGTGTTTTGGCCTCCCAGAGTCACTCCGTTGCTGCTCTGCTAGAGGGAACAGTAAAGACCTTCTTAGCCAGATGGTCGTAGTCGTGTGGACTCTTGGATGGGATTTCTATTTCATTAGGATCCACAGATAAAATGCCCTAGAACTGCTGGGATCTTACATGCAGAATACAGGCTGGACCAGGATTTGGCCCTATATCATTTGATAAGATTATTTACACAGACAAATTTGCTTAGCTAAGAAACATGTCAATTAAGGAATTACCCCCATACTCAGAGGCTTGTGGAGATCAGTCATAGTGACTTAGAGTCCGTGCCATCTCCTGGATCGCTTTAAAAATAAATATACCAGAAAATGCGCTTAAGCATTAGACAGGTTAGCCTTGGTTGTGCAGAGCTGGAAGTTTTGGTCTGATAAGAACTGTCCCCTCTGCTGATTTGGTAGGATACTTTTTTCACATGGGTGTAACTGATTACATAAACAAGGCAGGGGGGGTCTCAAAACTGTTTCACTACCCAGAGGAAATGTATCAGTTCCATTAGAAGGATGATGTTTCACTAGTTCAACTGTGTGTCCATTTAAAGCTTGCTTTCTTGGTAAAGCTTGCCCCGGACTGATACAGAGTATTGACATACACACTCTGCTGCGCTAGTTTAACTACAGCAGTGTGATGCCATGTCTTTAGTTAAATCATTTAAAATCTGGGATTCATATTTAGCTGTGGCATTTATGTGCCCCTCAGACTCACAGCTGTGTACTGATCCTGCTCTTGTCTCTGTTAAGAGCTAGACCATGAGAGTTTTCTGTGCTGATACAAAAGGTTGGGGATTTAATATGTCTGGATTCTCCCTTCCTGCTTGCTCCCCTACAGTCTCGGGGTCTTCTAGGCCCACAGGAGTAGAGGGCAATGGTTACTGGAAATGTAGTTTGAATGCCAGGTATTGCTGTTCATACTCTTTCTGCTCCCACAGAGTCACAGGAGTCACAGGCCATCCAAGAATCCTAGATTCTGTGCCTTTATTCAGTGCCATGGTTGCTAGTGAGAACAAAGTTAGTCTATGGGGTAAAAAAAAAAAAAAAAAAAGAGAGGAGCCTGCCTGTGTGTAGGGGGAAAACTGGCAATAAACCCCACAGTAAGGTGAGAGAAAGACTCAAAAAAGAAGAAAAGAAGTGGGAGTGCTAGCCTGTCCTGAGTACCAAAAAATTTTGCTGCGGTTCAGATTGTAGCTGCATGTTTTTAACAGTAAAGGATAATTGGATATAGGGTATGCTTGATTCCCTATTGTTCATAGTCTTTATGTCAAGAGTGGATGCCTTCTTAAAAGTCTGACTACATTTCAAAGGAGAGCTATGGCTTCAAGCAGAAATTCCTGGTTCACTTTATTTGTTTGATCCTTTGGAAGAAGTCAGACTAGAGGATCATTATAGTGCTTTTGGACTTAAAATCTGTTGATTTAATTGAAGCTAACCTCTTTGAGACAGAGATTCTGTCATGCCCAGTGCTACTGACCTTGTTGAGAGTTTAACCTGCACTGGGTGAGAAAGCAGCCGGTGTGAATTGGTGGAGCTGCAGTGAAATCACAGTGCTTGTGTGTCCAGTGGGGTTTGTTCTACATCTGCTGGTGTGCAGGCTCCAGCAAAAAATTCCCGCACACCAGAATCTCTTGCATTTTGGGACATATTCCAGAGGATTGTAGAAAAACAATGATTTAGTATATAAAATATATAATCCCAATGGAGAGGTTTAAAATGGAGAGATCTTGATTAAAAGGACTAGGCGATAGAAGCAAGATTTATAAATATTCATGTAGAAGACATTTAAATAATATGTATATGTTTAATAAAATATAGTACTGGGATTTAGGAAAAATTTCCATAAAATATTTGGACCAAGAGTTCCTCCAAGAAAATGTCATGATTTAATCAAATTCTTGCTAGTGTTATAAAGCTGCTCTTCTGAACACTAAACACCTTGGGCTACTCCCTCTTGGTTAGTTACCTTTGTGCAGAGAGCCATCACAAACCTCTACTTACAGCACCAGAACAGGACTTAAATGATGCATAAATCTTGAGCTCTCCAGGAATGATTTTTACCTTCTCTGTATGAGAATAGAATCAAGCATTTCCTTTAATCTTGCGTAGCTTCTGTATTAAAATGAGCCTTGATACTAATCCCTGGCTATCTGGATTTAAACTGACATGTATCCTACAGCTCCAAATGTTAGACCATCTGAGTTACCAACATTCATGTGCTTAATCCCACCAAAGGACAGAAAAGTCATTATCCTCCCAGTATTTCCTTAATACTGCAATGGATTCCTTCAAAAACCTAGGCAGTTTTGCTCACAGTATTTCCATTTGCTGAGTGTTTGCATTATTCCCCATTGTGAACTGGGAGAACATGATGAGCAAGGTAAATACCACAGAGTGACACATAAAGGTTGTGTTAGCAACTTGCATATCTCCAACTATACAAATTACAAACTGGGGCTTACACTTAAATTTCGCAAAAGGCAGCTAGCCTCTCTTGTATGTAAGCGGGTTTTCCTGTTGAAAGGAAACACACACGTTCCTAAGCCCTGATCATAATAGAGTTGTCAAACACAACCAAAGGAGAATATTCAGTAAATGAAACTACATCTCTGTTTTTGGTTTATAAATATATATATATGATGGTAATGCATATGATCAGCGCTCATGTAGTGGTAACTTCAGCAATAAGGCACTTCTGCATGTACAGTACACATGGTATCACATAAATAAACAGACTTGTACTTCATGGTATCACTAAAAGTGCATGGCACAGTAAAAGATGCTACTGTTCTGTTTGGGTGTAAATGGCTAA